GAGTGATCTTATGAAGTTATATAGAATCATACAATAATAGTGCAATATACTACAAATTTACATATAATTACAGCAATTCACGACTTTTTGTCCCATAAACATACAATTTGCAATTTCAAAAATGTATTCATTTATTGGAGCCGCTAGACATGCACACCGCGATCATAGCTTTACACCCTGAAACAGTTGCCATTTGCTATATTATATTTGCACGTATACATGACAGAGGCAGCCTAATACACAAAAAGTGCAATTATATTTATACCTTAAAATGCCTACTTTAAGACCAGAGACTATATGAGCATTTAGACAAATTCATCCATATTATAACAGTGCTTGTTACTAAGAATATTGCATATCTTTCTGCCACTTAAATTAATAAATAATGAAAACACCCTTCAGTCTGTAGCCTAGCAGTTCCGAACGTTTGCTTTGTCGCAACTTTTTCAGATGGAAGCGCTGACAGTGGCAGCCACACATTCGTTGTTAAGCCAACGGTATTAGCCGTCAGTTCGAAAATCTTTTTATTTTTAAATATTAATCTAATAAATAAATTGAACTGCTAAAACTTTTTTATCGTAGCATAATTTTCAACTATTTTAACTCGAAAAATATCTAAAATCAGAGTAATGATATCGCATTTAACAGGTGATGGATATACATAATGCCTCAGGATAAACGATTACATGCTAGCACTATGTGATCATGAGAAGCAAGCTCGATGATCTGAATGAATTTAGAAGATAAATTGAAGTCCGTTCAAGCTATGAAATTCACGAAAATATCTGACGCCCAGATAAATTGGCGATATACAGTACCTTGTGCTGGCTCCTCGTGGTGAGCAGGATGGAGTTTGCTCGGCGTATGGCACAGGAGGCAGGGACAGCCGATGTCAGGTAAGTTGTATGTTGCTTTACTAGGCAATCACCTTACCTTTGTGCTCACTGCTTCGCATGGTGGTGTGGGTATGAGAGTGACCTCGGGGGTATGAGGGAGCAGCAGCGTGTCAAGGTAAGTGATATCGTCGTTACTAAGCATCACCTACCTTTGCTGCTCCTGCGTGGTGGTGGTTGGTGGGTGAGTTGCTCTGGCGGTATGAGGGAGGCAGGCAGCGTGTTCAGGTAAGTGTATGTTAATTAACTAGCCATCACCTAACCTATGCTGACCTCACTGCGTGACTCGGTGGTGGTGGGAATGAGTATGCTGGCGGTTCATTCGAAGGGAGGACAAGCAGCGTGTCAGGTTCAAGATGTTGTCGTTACTAGCATCACCTAACTGGTGCTCCTGCGTTGATGGGTTGGTGGTTGGATGAGATTGGCTCCGGGGTATGAGGGGGCAGCAGCTGTCAGGTTAATGTGTATGTCGTTACTAGCATCACCTACACTTGCTGTCTCATGCAGTGGTGTTGTCGGTGGGTGGATGAGTGCTGGAGGTATTGAGAGAGGCAGGCAGCGTGATCAGGGTAAGTGTGTATGTCGTTACTAGCGTCAGCCTACCGTTGCTGCTCCTGCGGTTGTGGTGGTGGTTGCGGGATGAGTTTGCACCGGGGTATGAGGGAGCGACAGGCAGTACGTGTCAGGTGTAAAGTGTAGTCGTAACTTAGCATCACCTAACCTTACGCTTGCTCTGCTGCGTGTCGGGTGCGTGGTGGGATGGTTGCCGGGGTATGAGGGAGGCAGGCAGCGTGTCAGGTATAGTGTAATTGTCGAGTTACCTAGCCTATCACCGTACCTTGTTGCTCCTGCGTTGGTGGTGGTGCGTGGGATGAGTGCTCGGGGATATGAGGGAAGGCAGGCATGCGTGTTCAGGTAAGATGTATGTCAGTTACTAGCATCACCTCCTTGTGACTCCTGAGTATTCGGTGGTGCTGGTTGGGATGAGTTGCTTCGGGAAAGATATTGAGGGAGGCATGCGCGTGTAGTCAAGGTAATGTGTATGTCGTTACTAAGATCTACCTACCTTTTGTGTCCTTGCCGAGTGGGCTGGTGGTCGGGATGAGTTGCCGGCGGTATGAGGCGGAGGCAGGCCAGGGCCCCGTTGTCAGGTAAGTGTATGATTGTTACTAGCATCACCTACCTTTTGCTGCGTGGTGGTGGTGGTGGGAATGAGTATGCCCCGGGTAGGGTCATGAGCGGAGGCAGGGCCAGCGTGTAGCTGTAAGTGTTATGTTCAATTACTAGCATCACCTACCTTGCTTGCTCCTGCGTGGTGGTGGTGGTGGGATGAGCTTGCTCGGGGTTATGAGGGACGGGCAGCAGGCGTGTCAGGTAAAGTGTATGTTGTTCTAGCATCACCTACCTTTGCTGCTCCATGCGTGGTGCGTGAGTTGGTGGGATGCAGTTGACCGCGGGTTATGGATGGGGCAGGCCATGCCGATGGTCAGGTAAGTGTAGTTTTGTTACTAGCATCACCTAACCTGCTGCTCCACTGGCCGTTACTACTGTGTGGTGTGGGTGGGATAGTTGCCACGGGTATGAGGAGAGGCAGGCACGCGTGTCAGGTAAGTGTATTGTTTGTTATAGCATCACCTACTTGCTGCTCCTGCGTGGTGGTGGTGGTGGCATGAGATTGCTCTGCGCGGTACTGAGGGAGGCAGCAGCATTACACGGTAAGTGATATGTTTTGTTACTAGCATCACCTGACCATTGCTGACTTCCCTGCGTATGCGTCGGTGAGTGGTGGGATGAGTTGCTCGGGGTATGAGGGAAGGCAGGCAGCTGTGCTCAGGGTAAGCTGTAATGTTGTTAACTAGCATACACCTACCTTGTTGCTCCTGCGTAGGTCGGTTTTGGTGGGTGGGATGAGTGCTCGGTGGTATGAAGGGCACGGCAGGCAGCGTGTTTCAGAGTAAGTGTATGTTGTTATAGCAATCACCTTACCTTGCCTGCTCCTGCGTGGTGGTGGTGGATGTGATGAGATTCGCGCTCGGGGGTAAATGAGAGGAGGCTATGGCAGCGTGTCAGGTAAGTGTTACTGTTTGTATCACTAGCCGTCACCTACCTTTAGACTGCCCATCACTGCGGGGAGTGTGTGGTGGCATGGTTGCGCGGAGGTCATGAGGGCAGGCAGGCAGCGGATGATCAGGTATGTGTAATGTTCGTACTAAGCATCACCTACCCTTCGTTGCCTCCTGCAGTGAATGGTGGTGGTGCAGGAATGAGGATTGTCGGAGGTATGAGGGAGGCAGGCAGCGTCGTCAGGTAAGTGTATGTCGTTACTAGCATTCACTTACCTTGTTGCTCCTGCAGTGATGGTGGTGTGGGAATGAGTTGCTCGGGGGAATGAGGGCAGCAGGCAGGTGTCAGGGTAAGTGAATATGTCAGTTACTAGCATCACCTACCTTGCTTGCTCCTGCACAGCGTGGTGGTGGTGCGTGGGATGAGTTGCTCGTGAGTAATGACGGATGGCAGCAGCGTGTTCAGGTAAGTGTATGTCGTTTACTAGCATACTACCTTGCATTGCTCCTGCCGTTGGTCGGTGGTGTGGGATGAGTTGCCCGCGGCCGTATGAGGGAGCAGGCCAGCGTGTCAGGTAAAGTGTTATTGTCGTTAACATGATAACTACCTTGTTGCTCCTTGCGTGGTGGTGGTGGTGGCTGGCTTGTCGGAGGATATGAGGGAGGCAGCAGCCGTTGTCAAGGTAAAGTGTATGGTGTTACTAGCCATCACCTACCTTGTTGCTCCTGCGTAATGGTGCGTGGTGGTGGGATGAGTTGCTCGTGGGTTATGAGGGAGGCAGGCAGTCGCTCGTGTCAGGTAAGTGTATGTTGTTAACTGCATCACCTACCTTGCTGCTCCTGCGTGGACGGTGGTGAGTGGTGCGGATTGACTTGCTCGGGGTGATGAGGAGGCAGCTAGCGTGTCAGGGTAAGTTGTATGTTGTTACTATCATCACCTACCTTGCTGCTTCCTGCCGTGTCGGTGAGTGGTGGATGAGTTGCCCGGTGCCGTAATGAGGGCAGGCAGCAGCGTGTCAGGTAAGTGTATGTTGTTAATAGCATCACCTACCTTGCCTGCTCCTGCAGTGACGTTTTGGGGGGGTGCGTGGTTGGGATGAGTTGGCCCGGTGGTATTGAGGGAGCAGGCCCGCGTGTCAGGTAAGTGTATGTCGTTAACTAGCATCACCTACATTGTTGCTCCTGCGTGTATGGTCCGGTGTGTGGGTATGAGCTTGTCGGGCGTATGAGGGGCAGGCCAGACGTGTCATGCGTAAGTGTTTATGTCAGTTACTTAGCATCACCTACCTTTGCTGTGCTCCTGCGTGGTGGTGGTGGTGGGATGAGTTGCTCGGGGTATGAGGGAGGCAGGCAGCGTGTCAGGTAAGGGTATGTCGTTACGCCGCAGGACTACTAGGTGCATCGCTATGCTGAACTCATCCATCGATAACGCCCCGTCCTTGTTAATGTCCGACAGCTCCCTGCAAACAACAACAGAGGGCGCTGCCATCACTACACAAGATTTTCAGCAACTATCGCGTAGCTACATTTTCTACATACCTGGTTATTTTTTATTTTCTTCATTTTCATTTATTGTTACTTTTCAAATACATTTCACATACATTTTTTATTTTTAGTGATTGACTTATGAATATATTCATCACGATTATTAAGAATCCAGAATTCAGACCAGATATCACCAGAAATCTTGGATCGGATGGTAAAACTGAGATGGGGAGGCAGAAATCAAGGATCGGAGAAATCTGGAATCGCGTAGCAGAAATAATCCAACGCTGAAGAACAAAAATCTGGAGTTTGGTGGAAATCTTTACGTAACATCTACATTAAGTTTCCACTCGTGTCGAGCCATGCGGTGCGATGTCTATCAGCTCACCAGATCTTGGAAAGTTCAGCAATTGGCAATTTTGACTTTTGGAAGAATTCCCTGGCTGTTGTTCCTGCAAAACAAAATTGGAAAAATAACATGGCCATTACCTCCTTTGTCTAATTTTCCCTCAGAAGAAACCCTGAACACTCACCTAGTATGAGCCCGTCAACGTCGTGTGTGAAATAGTAATAATTAATATGTGTGAGGGATATATCCGCTCATTATAGACATTTCTGTGTCTTATATTATTGGTTACCTACTCGGGTCGCGCTTTCCTTTCAGAAAATCTAAACGCCGTCAAATAAAGAGATGCAAGTAGATCCACCTGCAGGGGAAAAATGTTAATCCTGACAGAGGTGTGTAAAACGAGCAACGTCGATATGTGATTACGTCATGCAGTGCATTCGTCGTGACCTTTGCCGTTACACGTGACCTTTTGCGCGCTGCATTGTCCAGCACGCATTCTGGTGCTCGCAGAGGCACAGGATGTGCAATGAACCGTCAAGCAGAGATTTGCGCTCTAGTATCTGGAGTTGTTCTCTCAGATGTATCTCTTTGAGGATATGGTGGACACGCTTGCCATGCAGCGTACCACCGAGCGATCCCTAGCCAACTAGTAGGGTAATAAACCAACTAGTAGGGTAATAAAGGAAACCAACAGTTTGTAAATAGTGCAATGCCATTTTGTGTTGAATGTGTTCGTTTTCTATTGTACACGCACACGCAGAACCATACGCACGCATGTACGCACACTCACATTCACACGCACATACACACTTGAACCTGTTGTATGATTCTATCGCTTAATATTAGCAGATTTTTAAAATTCTGCACGTAACCCATCCATGAATTAAATGAATTAATTATAAAGATTCTTTAATTTATGACAAGTTAAAAGCACGGAATTAGGAGAAACCAAACTAGATAATAACTAGTGGCAACTTGCTGATGTATGCGATCCCTATTATTCATAATTAATTAATAATGATGTTTTATTAATTAGCAATGTTAACCACTAACAAGTCAACCCATCATAAGAAAGCATGCGAATTAACCACATATCGTGGTAACACGGTATATGCTTAACAGAGTACACAGTACTTTTTATTGTACAATTGTTTATACATCACTTTACATAACCGTAACAGTCTCTTTCCCCGTGCATCTGTACGATGCAATAACTACGACGACTCTACATTTCATCAAGAATAATGCGCGGCGGCGGCGGCAGTGAGGACCTATACCGCATGAGGATACCCATGAAGATCATCATCACCAAGCCAAATCGCCACTGCGCCACGGTTTGACAGCAGTGCTATATTATGTTGAACGTGACTGGGAGCCGCCCATCATACCAGTTTCCAATCGCAGTCATTCTACCGCCCATGCACCGGAAAACAACTCAACACTTGTCGATACAAAGGTGGTGGCGGCGCCACAGTACCCCCCCAGTACAACTTTCGTAAGTGAGTGTTATATATATTATATTATATATAGATAGATGTGACCATAATGAGATTTGTGAGATAGTGGGACAGGTAATGGTAGCTTATGAGCCCGTCAACGTCGGACTGCATTGTTAGGAACTGGTTCATGTAATACTGTCTTTGCTCCTCTGTGATCAGCCAGACATCCTCCTCCTCCTCGCTCACAGCCTCCCCCGAGTCATCGTCGCTACGATGTTGCTGTGGCAACCGTGGATGCCCGTCGCTCGGCAGCTGCTGCTGTGAGCCTGCATTTGTCTGCTTCTCACCTACAACGAGGAAACACTGAAAGTTGATTGTTGTATGATAATCAGAGATAGCAAACCTCCGCCACAGCGTAACAGTCCCACCCCCCCATCTTGCTGGTACACCAAATATCATAGGCAGATCCAGCTTTTAAAAAAAAGGGGGGGACCAGTAAGAAACAAAGGGCACTTTTTGGTTTTTTAATTTTTCTGGAGTTTTAAAAAGGTGCCGAAAGCATTCTGGTGCATTCTGAGAGCATCTGAGCAGTAATTTTGATGTATAGAATGCAAGATGGAATTCCAAATTTTTAGCACAAAATTATCTATTGTGTGTTTTCCATTTTTTTCTTTTTTTGGGGTAAAAAAGGGGGGTCCGGACCCCCTGGACCCCCTCTGGATCCGCCCATAAATATAGAGTTTGATGAAGATCCAGGATTTTTTTTATTATGAATTTTGAATGCATCCGAAATCTTCCCCACCAAAAAAAAATCCTGGATCCAGATCACAACCAAAATCTAATCGCATGGTTGTTGGCCCAAGACCAACTTGTCCAACAAATTTCATCAAAATCCGTCCGTAACTTTTTGAGATATCTTGTTGACAGACAAACCAACAAACGAACAGGGGCGAAAACATAACCAACCTCCTTGGCAGAGGACAATAATTACAGGGTCAATAATTATATCACAGCTTCATTACATGTTAAAATACAATAGGAAAAGTCATAGACATGCTCGAACGCAACTCCACCTTATGGACGAATAAATAAACGCTCCTAGAGATAGAGTATTACACTGTGTTATTTGGGGCATACATTGACTTGCTCTACAGACAGACAGACAGACCTTTTATCTGCTAAATTTCTTAAGCTGCCAGTCCAATGTGATGGAATTTCACGCTCTGAGCGCAGGTGTACGCAGGTTTGTACACAGCATGCGATACCTGGCGAAGCGAATTCCCATCTGTGCAGCTGATTGTGCTGTTGCCCAGGAAACGGCTGCACAAAATGTTGTCCCGGATACGGCTGCTGCGTGTGCGGATGCTGTTGGTGATGTTGCCCCGGCAACGGCTGCTGCTGAGCTTGGCCCGGCAATGGTTGCATGGAGGAGGAGGGTGCATCTGTAGGGGAGAACGGTGGTGACAGGGCGTGGTCATAGTTCCCTATTGCACCTCCTCCTGTCTGAAACCAGCAATAATTCAGATGTAAAGATCATATGACTTTTTTGCCGTCAGCTTTGAGAAAGCCTCCTGAACGTCAGCAGATCAACACGGTTGAGTACAAATTAACCAAGATAGATCTATTATCTACCAACCGAATAAACTTATTTTACTTTTGATTCTACATTAACAATAGCAACAAGAAAAAATTTTACAATAAATATGACCTTAATAACCAATCAGCTTCAGGATGACACAGCAACATATAGACAGAGTTAGAAAGAGAGACGTACAGAGTGCGAGAGGGAAAGACAGAGACAAATAATAATCTGATAATAATAATAATAATAATAATCTCAGATAATAATAGTGAATAGATAAAACATTGCTAACTGTCTGCTGGTATGTTGTGGAGGCGAGCTCGCAGGGGCGACTGCTAGACTGTGTGCGTGAATGCTTGCTTGGTGGAGGTGGAAGCTGCCCTGGCAAGGTCTGCTGCCTGCAAATAAACCATGGTCACCATGGTTACAATTAGTTTTGTCACCATAAATGATAAGTAACAATACAAAAACCATTAACTATGATAAGGCATACCTAACAAATTTTCCACCTTCTCCTCCTTCTTCTCATCCTCCTCCTCTTCATTCTCATCTTCATTCTGCTGGTATGAAGGCAGACTAGATTGATTGACGACCCTCTTACCTGCCACCTGGGAATGAGGACACACCTTTGATTGTCAGTGAAGGTGAGTCGGCCAGAAACGCAGCGAGCAATATTGCAACCGTAATAGAGGGAAGACCGAGAGAGACAGGGGGAGAGAGAGAGAGGAGAGACAGGGAGAGACGGGAGAGACGGGGAGAGAGGGGGGAGAAAGGGGGAGACAGGGAGAGAGAGGAAGGAAGAGATATAGGCAGGGAGAGAGAGCGAGTGGTTTCTTACCTCTGCCGGGGAGATTCTAGGTGGAACTACAGGTGGAGGCAGCTGGCTCCCTCTGCCTGCAGAACAATATATAATACTGCTGTCATGCATGGAGGACAGCATTAGAATACACCACACGTGCGTTTGAATATAATCTTTATACATGTTCGAAAAATGTCTGCAATAAGAGTGTTACTTTGGTCTCTCTGTAATTTTTTTTAATTTAAAATAAAATTTGCAAACATTGATGAAATGAGTCATGCATCAGCAACATAGCAGCGGCACTTACTCTGGAATACGAGGTTCAGATCGAGGGACGAACTCCGGCTGTGTTCCTTCGCTCGTGGTGGAGGCAGAGGTGGCGCCATCTCTGACGACGCCTGCGATGCAACAGCCGCCGTTTTCTGTGGACTGTGTCTGCAGCAGCGAGTGCAGCAGCCGAGAGACAAGTGAACATCGATTTATACATAAGAGACACAGTGGTGGCGCACCGCCATTGTCAAATTTAACATCGCCGTTATGAAAATGTTCGTGTATTTGCTGAAGTTCTGATAGTGGGTATCACACATCTGCCTAACACGCAGAAGGTCCCAGGTTTGAAACCGTAGTCTTCCTACTCTTCGATCCACTCCAAACCTTTAATAGGTGAGGGGTGGAGTCAGGTAAATTCAGGTACATTCACTTACCCGCCGTTGTCAAAATAGTGTCAACCCAAAAATAAATAGATCACCCTGTGCTTCTGCATATTCGATGGCCATCGTGAGGTTATTGAGTCACGGTTGCGTTACACTGCGATTGGGTGTATGTTGGGAAGTGGTCCAATTCGCAACTCACCAACACATAGTGTAAACCCAGCTTTACATAGATCTCACTACAATCATGTCTTCCACTCGTCTATAGGAGCAGCAACAACAACAACAACAACAACAACAACAAGCAAATCTCACCTGTCTGTCTCCATCGGCAGCGTCACCACAGGGGGCGTCACCGTCGCTATGGGTGGAGGCGAACCGGGTACGATTGTCGCTCCCGCCGCGTCACCCAGGCTTCTTCGGTGTTTTGCCACCAGGGGGCGGTGCAATCATACAGCTCTGACGGGGATGGGTTTGGAACTTGCGGTGGCGCGGCGGGGGCGGCTCGGTGTGCGTGCGTGGTTTCGTGGGGGAGGCTTGCTGGCCTTGCGCGTTGTACAACACCTCATACGGGATGGGCTCTACAACAGTAGAACACAGACACCATGCACATGTTAGCAGTGACGTCAGCCTTTCTTATACATAAGAGCCACCACCTGCGCAACTCCTCCTCTCTGCACACACACCTATGGGTTTCTTTGACCCTCCCCCTTCTCCTCCTCCTCTCTGCACACACACCTGTGTGGGTTTCTTTGACCCTCCCCCTTCTCCTCCTCCTCTCCGCACACACACACCTGTGGGTTTTCTTTGACCCTCCCCCTCCTCCTCTTTCCTCTCTCCGCACACACCTGTGCGTTTCTTTGCCCTCCCCTCTCCTCCTCCTCTCCGCACACACACACCTGTGCGTTTCTTTTGACCCTCCCCCTTCTCCTCCTCCTCTCCGCACACACACACCTGTGGGTTTCTTTGACCCTCCCCCTCCTCCTCTTCCTCTCTCCGCACACACCTGTGCGTTTCTTTGACCCTCCCTCTCCGCCGTCCTCTCCGCACACACACACCTATGGGTTTCTTTGACCCTCCCCCTTCTCCTCCTCCTCTCCGCACACACACATACCTGTTGGGTTTCTTTGACCCTCCCCCGCCTCCTCTGGTCTCTCTCCGCAGCACACCTGTGCGTGTTCTTTGACCGCCGCCCGTCTCCTGCCTCTCCGGCTCGCACACACACCTGTGGGTTTCTTTGACCCGCCCCCCTCCTCCTCTTCTTCTCCACACACACACCTGTGGGTTTCTTTGACCCTCCCCCTCCCCCTTCTCCTTCCTCCTCTCCGCACACACGACACCGGTGGGTTTCCTTTGACCCCCCCCTCTCCTCCCTCCTACTCCGCACACACACCTGCTCGCGGACTCTCTTTGACCTCCCCCTTCTCCTCCTCCTCCGCTCACACACACACACCTGTGGGTTTCTTGACACCTCCATCCTCCTCTTGTCTCCTCTCTGCACAAACACCTGTGGTGTTTCTTTGACCTCTCCCCCTCCTCTCGTCCTCTCCTCGCTGGCACACACACCTGTGGGTTTCTTTGACCCTCCCCCTCCTCCTCTTCCTCTCCTCTCTGCACACACACCTGTGGGTTTCTTTGACCCTCCCCCTCCTCCTCCTCTCTCCACAACACACACACTGTGGGTTTCTTTGACCCTCCCCTCCTCCGCGTCCTCTCCTCTCGGCACCACCACACCTGTGGGTCTGACCCTCCCCGCGCCTCCTCTTCCTCTCCTCTCTGCACACAACCTGTGGGTCTTTGACCCTCCCCTCCTCCTTTCCTCGCCGCACACACCTGTTGGTTCTTTGACCCTCCCCTCCTCCTCTTTGCCTCTCCTCTCCACACACACACCTGTGGGTTTCTTTGACCCTCCCCCTCCTCTCTCTCTCCCTCTGCACACACACCTGTGGGTTTCTTTGACCCTCCCCCTTCTCCTCCTCCTCCGCTCCACACACACACACCTGTGGGTTTCTTTGACCCTCCCCCTCCTCCTCCGCCTCTCCTCCACACACACACCTGTGGGGTTTCTTGACCTCCCCCTCTCCTCTTCCTCTCCTCTCTGCACACACACCTGTGGGTTTCTTTGACCCTCCCCCTCCTCCTCTTCCTCTCCTCTCGCACACACACCTGTGGGTGGTCTTTGACCTCCCTCCTCCTCTTTCCTCTCCTCTTGCACAAACACACCTGTGGGTTTCTTTGACCCTCCCCCTCCTCCTCTTCCTCCTCCTCTCCACACACACACCTGTGGGTTTCTTTACCTCCCCGCTCATCTCCTCTCCGCACACACACACCTGTGGGTTTCTTTGACCCTCCCCCTCCTCCTCCTCCTCTCCGCACACACACACCTGTGGGTTTCTTTGACCCTCTCCCTTCTCCTCCTCCTCTCCGCACACACCTGCGGGTTTCTTCGTGCGACCGAGACTGCTCTCGTCCGACGAGATCTCCACCTGCGGGTTGTCCATCGGCAGCTTCACCGGGATTGGATGGACGATCGTCGAGTCGCCATCGACGGTGATGGGAGCAAAGTCGAAGTTCATCGGGGGCGGCCGCACGCCGGGAGACGACACGCTACTGGACGCCATCGAGGCAAGCGACGTCGGCGAATCACAGAACGTCGTCCACTGAAACACACGAGCATGCAAACGTGGCGGCGGTACTTGCGTTTCATTGGGCCAGGAACCAAATTTTGCCAGTTTTGCCAAAAAAAAAATCAAAAATTTGCCAGTTTTTGTCAATTTGGGTCCGATAGCATGTTGATAGGTGGTGTGCGTGTCTAGGATGATGATGTGTATTTATAATCTTCGTGATAGCATACCTAGAAAAACTATACAAAACCTTCTAAGTGGTGAGAGGAGGCACTTACGTACTTTTGTGCTTATGTATGTCGTAACATATATATATATATATATTAGAACAATAGGCAGTCTATATTATACACTCCTGATATATATATATATATATATTAGAACAATAGGCAGTCTATATTATACACAACGCCTTCGACCATCACTGTCTACGAGTACGAACATTGAGCGACGGGTGACGTGCGACATAACAATGCTTCGCTACACTTACATGCTGTTGCTGAGGCGAGCCTGGTTCAGGTGTCGTACCATCGCTCTCTGTACGACCGCCCTCCGCCATCGAATCTTCAAAGTTCAACAGATCTTTATCTTCTGTGACAATGAAGGCAGTGTCACTGAAGCTAAGGCTATCAGGATATTTTCCCCAAGAATTTGAGAGTATCTTATGATAGTAGAATCATAAATAATAGCATATACCTACAAATTTCTATAATTACGCATTCACGTTTGTCACAAAACAACATTGAATTTCAAAATGTTCATTTTTGGGCGCTGACATGACACCCGCGATCATGCTACCACCCTGAAACAGTTGCGCATTTGCTAATTTATTTTGCACGTTACAGACCGAGGGCTAATCACAAAAGTGCAATTATATTTATACCTAAATGCTATTTAACCGAACTATATGCATTTTAGACAAATTCATCCATATTATAACCAAGTGTTGTTTATAAGATATTGCAATCTTTCTGCCCTTAAATTAATAAATAAGAAACACCCTCAGTCTGTAGCCTGCAGCCGAAACGTTGCTTTGCGCAACTTTTTCAGTGGAAGCGCTGCCAGTGGCGCCACCATCGTTGTAAGCAACGGTATAGCCGTCAGTTGGAAAACTTTTTTTTTTAAATATTTCTAATAAATATTGAACTGTAAAACTTTTTATGTAGCATAATTTCAACCCATTTTAACTGAAAATATCTAAAGAATCAAGAGTAATGTATCCCTTTAACAGTTGATGGATATCAATAATGCTCAGGATAACGTTACAGCTAGCACTATGTGATCAGTGAGAAGCAGCGAGATCGATGATTAGAGATAATGAAGTCCGTCAAGTCTGAATTCACGAAAATATCTGTACGCGATAAATATGGCGTATACAGTACCTTGCTGGTCCTGCGTGGTGGCAGGATGAGTTGCTCGGGGTATGAGGGAGGCAGGCAGCGTGTCAGGTAAGTGTATGTTGTTACTAGCATCACCTACCTTGCTGCTCCTGCGTGGTGGTGGTGGTGGGATGAGTTGCTCGGGGTATGAGGGAGGCAGGCAGCGTGTCAGGTAAGTGTATGTTGTTACTAGCATCACCTACCTTGTTGCTCCTGCGTGGTGGTGGTGGTGGGATGAGTTGCTCGGGGTATGAGGGAGGCAGGCAGCGTGTCAGGTAAGTGTATG